ATAGATACCATCGTGAGATGATCCTATACATCATTGGAACTTTAATCATTATGTGCACTGCACGCCTATATTCATTTTAAATCTAAAACCATATGTATAGGTCGATTATCTGTCCACGTACGTCGGAGATATCCTTGAACATATGCAAAAATAAAATAAAATCGCGAATGTTACCCTTCGGTTTTTGTTTGAAGTCACGTAATAAAAGTACACTGAAAAATGTTTTACCTGTTTTGATACTGTTGTCAGATATAAAACTATAAAATAATAACATAATTAATTTATTACCAGTTCTTCTCGTCCGTTCTACGCCCTTGATTTGTGAACTGGCCGTTTTTTGTAGAGCTTTAAAGCGTCTGACAAAAGTTCTGGCGCATGGAAAGCGTCTGACTTTTTTGATATTACTTCAGAGTAATATTCTACAAAATATATATAAAAATCAGTCATTAAAATTTAACTTAAGTAACTCTGATTTTTAGTTACCTTTCTCACCTGGTACCTGCGCAGGTGTCACCGAGCCAACTCCACAAGCGTACAGGTATTAAAAAGTACACGAGAGACTACTTAGAACCGAAAGTTCTATGCTTTAGAAAATAAGTTGTGTCTTATCGCTCTGGGATCTTACTCTAATAAGTCTATATTGTGTTACCTATATTAATAAATGATTTTTTGAATTTTAACTTGAATAGAATTAATACGTTTTAACTAGCTCATCAAGCCGCTGGAGGGGACCAGGAAAAAGAAACGTGGGAAGACCACAAAAGCGATGGGCTGACGACTTAGTTAAGGTTTCTGGGGAGAAATGGATAGAGGAAGCTAGAAACAGATCTAAATGCTAAGTTCAGGAGGAGGCCTTTATCTAAAAGGATCCATACAGCAAAACAAAAATAAACGAAAACAACAATAACCTAGATTGAGAGTATAATAATAAAAGTAACACCCATTTTATATCTAATTAACAGTATAGAATTTATTATTATTAACTCGCCCATCTTATAGCCATTTGTTTAGACAGTCAGTCTATTCAGCCCGTTTTGAATACGACGGTTTAATATCAAGCCGGGACACGGCTTTCACGACGTCATGAATAAATGACGTGCTTTCAAAACGCCCGGTTTGAGGCCTAGATCGCTTAGTCTAAAAATGTGAATGAAGATACGCTCATATGATATGCAACAAGTGGAAAATATTGAAATCAACTCTTTTGCAAAAAAAAACGGACAACTAAAGTAATTTACGTTCTAAGGTCGATTTCAGTTATTTAAATAAAGGTAGTCTGTATGCTTATAATAGTATGAATTTTTTCAGGCAATTTTTTATTAATTTTCGATGAATTCTTTAAATCCGATGTACACGGCTAAGGGGCCGTTCAAGTATTACGTAAGCAATAAAGAGGGTGGGGGGGTCTTTGATTTTTTATTTGGTGATTACGTCAACAGTAATTATTACACCAACCCACACATTGTCTAATGTCTATGCTTGAAAGCGAAAAAAATTTTTAAGAGCTTTGCTTACTTTTGTTGATAAGGAGGGGGAGGGGGGAATGCCCCCTAAACAATAAGTGGTCGTTATTACAGCGACAAGATTTTTTTCCTTTTTCAATTAAATAAAGTCAAAATAATAATGATATAATATTTTTTATTAATCAGACAAATACAGTCCATTGATTGATTAGTGAGTTAGTAACAATAGTTTCTTAAGATCTATGTTAGAGAATTAGTAAAAATAAGGAAAAAGTAGTTAAATAAAAACTATCAGGTACAAAGCCCTGCGGAGATGTCGGAGCAGTGTCGTAAATAGGGGTGGAGTGCCCCTATTTATGACACTGCTTCTTTCTTCTGTAAAAACCAAATAACAAGTCTCCTCTTGCTAAAATTACAGCTTGAATCCTTCTTCCACAATGTTTCGGTTGTTGTAGGAATACGTTCCCGCTCTTCAGCAATGGCTCTCTGATGTTTTCACTGATCTTAACCGTATCTTTAGTATCTCGTAGTCAGGACTTCGAGCTAGCCAATCTAAACGACGGACCCACGAACGAACTAAATAATTTCTTTTAGTAAAAAGAACTTATCATTTTCAAAACTTTCCACATAGTTATTATTTATAAATCAACTAAAAACAATAAAAGCTAAATTACCAAAAAAGGAACGCAATCTGAGTTATTGAAAGACATTTTACTTACAATACTTTCTTTTACCGTGTAAGTAACTGACCAATGTGCACATAGAAAACTCTATTAGTGCGTAAACGGTATTGAACTCTTTGATTTACTATTGGTGCATAAAGGTTATTGAACTCTTTGTGATTTAGTTACAAAAGTGATTTTTATTTGTTTTTCTTTTAGGGCTGACCGCATACATTATAGATTTGAGAAACCCCTAAAGAAATAAGTCTGAATAAGTCAGATCGGGTGATTTGTAGCCCCAGGCAATTCGCCAAAACGCGACCTTCACTCCATAGTGCCTTCATAGACTTGTCGCTTTTCCAGGCCGTGTTATCCCTCGCTTCTATTTATGTGTTATTTATAGAACACTATAATATTTAATATAAATGTTCACAGTGTAAGATACAATCCATATTTCTAAACATGTGACAATTACTATTACTAAAATGAGAAGCAAAAACAGCACAAATTAGTTATTACTAATTTAAAAATACGTATATTTGCTTGAAGTCTAGATACCTAAACAATTTTTTTTTTCATAAATTACTTACTCTACTACCGAATATCAAGCTCTGAATGGTACAAGTAGCTTTCATTCTGTTAATTTGTTATAGTTATAAGATACTTTTGAAAGTTTTAATTGTATTTTAAGTAATAAGACAAAAAATAAAAGGTACGGTTCAAGGTAACATTGATTTCCATTGGGAGAACTACTTTGATCGAAATAAGCTAAATAACTTTCAACGAAATTACGATCGATTTTCCTTATGAGAAAATATACTAAAATAAGTATTCTACATATACTTGTATAAGTATAATACTAAATTCAAATATTAAAGTAATATATGTGATATGGAAAGTTGAAATTCTCCAATTATAATTTAATTTATTAAATAAAATAAATATGGAAATTTTCAATTTTTCTATAGAACAATAAATTACTTTGTTGGGATCCTAAATAGCTAAACTCAATGAAGTAAGAAATAAGTGTACAAAAGTTTAAAAGTAGTATTTGGATTTGCATTCCCTAAAGACGGTTATTATATAATAAAGTATTTATTATAACATTAATTAATCCGGACATACGGAATTCCGTGCAAAATATACAAATGTAATCATTTTAATTAATTCATTAGTTCACTACATATTTTAATATAAAAGCATTTTTTTGAATACTCTGATTTTATTTGAGTCAAATATACTTTATTTAAACGTCAAAGGGATTCACGCAAATCCTGACATGCAAACGAAGTGTCTTATATATTTAAATGTGATTTTATACCTGATACTAAGACGTCTTTCAATGTATTCAAGAAAGAAGAGTCAGCCAACGCTCAACATGCGAGGCAATACAGCCTGATATATTGTTCTGTGTCGCGTCACGTAGATGTTGACAAACGTACACACGCTGGCTGAATATTTGGTGTACCATTTCAGCTAAACGTGTCACTTGGTTTGCGAATGTAAGCGAATTAGGTCTTTTAATGGAACACGAAATTTAATTTTGTTCTAATTTCGAGTTATTTTGTCTATAATTTAAATAAAATCTGAATCTGTTTCATGATCAGTTTTAAATCTAATAGGCAAGTAGGTGATCAGCCTCCAGCGCCTGACACACTTTTGGGACTAAGACATGTCGGTTTCCTTCACCGTTCGAGCAAATGTTAAATGCGCACATAGAAAAATAGTTCATTGGTGCACAGCCGGGGATCGAACCTACGACATCAGGTATAAGAGTAGCACGCTAAAGCCACTAGGCCAACATTGCTCTGTCTATAATTTAGGAATTTAATACATTACAGGCGTAACAGTATCGATATCTTTTGAAGTTTGGATATAAAAAGGGGATGTTTCAGCTTCAGCAATATATTACAAAATGATGTTTAACAAGTAGTTGGTAGGAAGTTTACTCTAAGCAAAATTATTACAGAGAAACGAACGGTTTTTGATGATAGTTCCAAGGTACAATGTAAAAATAAATGTTTTATTAGAGTTAAATTACCTAACCAGGGTCCTATTTGAATTTCTCGTTCGTTTAAAAATTCAGTGAAAAGTCAACATTAATTTAATAAAATTCCTAGAACAGTAGTAGCCAAAAAATTTATATTCCTGTTTCAACGTAACATATGCTAAATTCGTCGAATTTTTTTTATTACTATATTTAAAATATTACAAGACTTCATCTTAGCCTTCTTCAGTCTTTAAGTAAAAGTAAAGTAAAGTAAAAAATCATTTAATCATGTAGGTAACATAATGTACACTTAAACAAAGACTTGTCCTCAGCAGGAGGCATGGTAAAATAGGAGCACGCACTTACATTCTCGCGGGAACAACACGCAAACAAATAGTCGTCACCGCATAAACGAATTCAAGTACGACCAGTCACCACAAGCAGCACCAGGTCACGAGCATGACGCATGGTCAGCCATCGGCCCCTCGCCATATTTTGGGGAGAGAGACAACCCGACGCATGGATGTCGCCACAAGCAATGAAATTTAAGCGAGCAGATTGACATATACATACACTCATTAGATATAATTTATCTTTATTGAAATTCTAAAGTTTTGCAATAGACATTAATGTCTAGACACTAATATAATAATAGCTCTAAAGCTATCATACATTTCTGAGTTGAATTTATTAATAAACCATTTTTGGCACATTCACCCTACGCATTCTCTATATTATTGTTTAGTATATAAACCTTTTAAGTGGCGTTTTGATAAAAATGATATAGTATTATGTTTAATATGTTATGTAGGCTGTATGGTTTTCTAAATAAACAATTACATTGACAACGTTTTTGCTGTATACATAATAATATATAAATTTCGATCATTCTTCACTCGTTACTTTTAAGTAACAGCCTTTGTACCAATAGCAATTAGTGAGCAACTTGGGGAACGATTCCTGTACTAGGAAAATATCTTTTTGGTGGGGAACGAGGAAATCTCGGACCAAATCTGTCTGAGGCGTGCTTCCCTTTCTTTGATCATTTTTATTTGTATTAGTCAATTTTTGTATGTAGGACATGCCTTTTGGTTCATGAGGTTTGTCTTCATCGTAGGAGCAGACTTTCATTACGCACATATAAAGCACATTGATGTGCACCAATTTCATGATCCTACAGCCTTATGATTAACAGCTTAAGCCACTTGGCCAAACTGTCATGATCGTATGATCATGCTGTATAGCAATTCGGAGTCCGCGCTGGACAAGTGCGGGTAGACGTCGTGGGCTTGTCTGCGGCATGCTAAAGACATATTCCATTTACCAACAGCGCTTTTCATTCCGACCTTAGAAAGAAAAGTCCATCAGTGAAGTGGAGTTAATCATCCAGGAAATAAAAAAAAATATATTAATTACTTATATAGGGAACACAATGAACACTTTATTTTAAAAATAAATTCTAAATTTACATTTACTGCCAGACCTTAAATCAAGGGTAATACATACAGTAGTAATACATAACCTTAATGCAACAGAAAAGAAAAAGAACTTTTAAATCGCCATGTTTTTTTTGGTGTTTGTAACGAGCTGCAACCATTATTACATTAAGCTCCTCATCACATCCACAATTAATTAATTATAATAATTAAACTAATAATAATGTGTTATGTACGCTATTTGCTTCTGTTTGTTTAGTTATTCAAACATAATTAGTTCAAAGCTGCAACATTTACAAAACGAATAATTCCATAAACAAAGTTACTCACGTATATAAACTTCTTTCAGTTTTTCTTTTTAAAGGCGTGAATTAAAAATAAACAAAGCTCAGTCACACTAGCTCGAAGTACAAAGAGGCAGGGTTTCGTAATATTTTCTCGACAATAGCGAGATTAGACTATAAATCACAAACTGTTACCGCCGCACTGTTTTGATTTTAATTAAATTTTAACATAATTTTAGCGTCCATTCAGCCTGTTTAAGCGAAAATTTTAAATTATGTTTGTCTTGTACGTTTCTAAAAGGAGGTGAATGGCTTTGGGTACATGGACCTAATAAAATTATTGTTACATGTTATATTTTATTTTTCAATTATCATATAATGCTTAATTATAATTTTATACAATTTGGATTCTCTTAGGTGATTGTCGGACTATATCTTGTTGTGTACAGTCTCTATTAAAGGGAAGACACTCTGATCTTGTGTTCTATTTTTTTTATTTTTTACTCACTGTGTAGCATTTAATACTGATGTGCACTAACACTAATTCAAATGGTTTTGTTCTTTTAAGAATTCTCACTAGGCCCGTGGTGTCAAGGAGTTGAATAGCTTCGACATTCACGTGATGGTGGAGCCTATTTTCGTGGGCTCCAGCAGTCTTTTTTATTAATGGAAAAATAAAAATAAATGTTTTTGTATTATTCTGAGATTGTCCAACTATCCATATAAAACTCGCAAATCACATATAAATTACACAAGCCAAATTGAATTTAGAATCTACAGAGGCCTTACTACGTATCTTGGCATGACTTTGAGTTTGAAAAAACTAACAGACACAGTGCACGATCTTAACAACTCTCAGCTACTCTCTCAAATACATGCTCATACACACCCATTCATACACTCACACATTCACTCATACTTAATAACCTAGAAGACATAGTTATAACACTAATAACAACTCTCAGCAACACTCTCAAATACAAGCGCATACAGTATACACACCCATTCACACACTCAAACATTTACTCATACTTATTGTCTTATAAGACACAGTTGTAACACTAAAATTACTTTTTTTTACTGTTTTAAACATGTACCATGTACCACGGAATAATTGTTTTCTAGTTACACACAACGACCCACACTCCCTATTATAGGGACTAGCGATATATGAATTTTGTCACAACCCTTTTGTCATAAATAAAGTTTTTATTATTATTATTTCTAAATTTTACGTAATAGAATCCATATTATTCATACATACGTACTTCAAAATACGTTTTAACCAGGAATTTCTCTCGAGCCGACTCTATTGGATATTCAAAGCACGCAAAGTGATGTATTGAAGGGCATATTATGATTAAGGACCACAAAAGCCAGCCATTTACAAAATAAATAGACATTTAAATAAAATACGAGTTTGTTGGGATTAAAGCTGGTGTCTATCAATATTAATATTTATGATTATTATATCACACCAACATCTTTACGGACAATTTGGTATTTATTATATATTTTGGGGAAGAAAAATATTTCTTGACAATATCTTATAATTTATTTATTTATTTACACTTCGTTGCAAATAAAAGAAACACAATACATAAAAATTATAAGGGATGCAACGGGCGGCCTTATCGCTAATAAGCGATCTCTTCCAGGCAACCCTAGTTAAAGAGAAAAACTAAAAAAAAGAAACATGATGCATGCGAGAAGTGCAGAACCAAATGTTATATAAATATATATATAACCTTAATCTAAAGTAATACAAAAGAAAATATTAATAACAGACTAAAAACTTAAAAGCTAATCTTACAAATTCATGAACAGCAATAGTGATGCAAAAGGAAACATAAGAATTATACAAGTCACGATTGATCAGGATAGGATAAGGTTAAGAAATGATTATACAGAAGAGTTTTAAAAGATGACAGAGAGGTAGCCAATCGTATGGAGTCGGGCAGCCTATTCCACAACTTAATAGCGGATATCGTGAATGAATTGCCTAAGAAGGATGAAGTGTGGGATGGAATTTCCAATAAACATCTATTAGAAGAGGGTAACATATAATTAGAATGACCTAAGAATTTGAAGTGATTTTTGAGATAAGAGGGGGTTTTCGGATGGAAAAGAATTGAGTATAGAAGTTGAATAAAATGAGCGTGACGTCTGAATCGAATAGGTAGCCACCCCAGCTGCCTGCGTAATTTAGACACATGGTCATATTTTCTAAGACCAAATATGAAACGTATGCAGAAATTCTGCAGGCGTTAGATCTTGTCAAGTAGCTCTTTGTTCAAATCAGAGGTGCATGAGTCCGCATTATCGAGAATAGGAAGGAGAAGAGACAGCGCTAACATAGTTTTAGTGCGGATAGGAAGGAAATTAGAAAGACGTCTCAGAGTAAAAGAAGCGGCGTAAAGTTTACGACTGATCTCCTTTACGTGATGACCCCAGGAAAACGTTTGGTCGAAGAAGACCCCAAAGTTTTTAACAGTCTTTTTAAGGGCCAAGGCCACACCATCAAGGTAAACACCAGGGAGCTGAGCCCATTTGACTCTTGAAATAAAGAAAGGGCTTCCGATGATGATGACTTGACTCTTGGCAGGATTAATTTGAAGACCAAAGTCTTGACTCCAGTTGGCTATGTTTTCAAGATCATCATTCATCGCCTGTATTGCAAGAGGAAGCTCATCCAGTGTAGACTGAACGTAAATTTGGAGGTCATTAGCGTAAAGGTGATAATCAGCCGATAGATGTGCAGTCAGGGTGTTGATAAAGATAGAAAAAAGAAGAGGTGAAAGAACGCCACCCTGCGGAACACCAGTACTTATATTATTCCACTGAGAGTAAGCATTATTCATTTTAATACGCTGCCGACGACCGTTAAGATAGCTATGAAACCAGTCAATAGCGGATGGACAGATATTCATAGAGCGAAGCAACCCAAGCAGAATTTCAAAGTTCACAGTATTGAAAGCATTGCTAAAGTCAATCAGTTGTCGTTCATGGTCAATTAATTCATTTTTTCAACATACCATACTTTTTTACTGGTTCAGAGAGATTTAAGGAATTCGATGCAAGTTTATTTAAAAATAAGTTAAAACACACGTACGTGCATGGAATGTCGCCATGAATGTATGTGGCGTTCTTTTGTTTCGGATACCAAAACTATGTCCCAATTGTGTAAGTATATATGGCACGCGGCTATGTATAGTCTAGTCGACAAGTTGAAAATGGAACAAAATAGAGATACTGCTCTTAAAATTATGTGCGATAGCTCATTCGAACCGGAATGACGCCTAGAAAAATGTGCTAAAAGCGTGTATTAGCACATAAAAAATTGCAAAAGTTATAGACCATTAAAGATGAAAAAAAAATGGAATTTAGTTTTTTGCCAATATTTAATAAACTATTAATATTTAAGAAATTTCAAATAAAGATTCTGAAAGAGGAGGAAATTTCCAATAAAAAACTCTCAGCTCCCGGAACTCTATCTCCATTATTTATAACTTTAATTTAACGCTGAAAATAGGTCTGTGCGTGACATTTTTAGGATTCGCGCGTGGCGTCAAAAGCGACTACGGCACATTAATTAATTTATTTAAGGTATTGAATATTTTTTTTTAAATTTGAAAAAATTATGGTGTGTTCTGAACACTATAATTAATTTATTCCCGTTGGAAATTTTACTTAAAGTTAATTTTTCAACAAGTTAAATAATTGTTAACTAACGAAATTTTCTCGAACGACCGTCTTAATTGTAAGTGAAAAAAATGTTTTAATAATGGTCGTAAAAATATTTCGCTTCGTAGAGCCTTTCTTACATACATACTTAACAAGATCGTGCCATAAAAGTTAAAGAAATATTTATACTTTGTTTATAACAATTTTTTACTTAAACAAAAACTTAAAAATCCAAGTAATGTTGTTAAAAAATTTTTTTTTTCTAAATCATCAAATTATCGTTTTTATATTAATACAAGATATTTATTGATTTGCAAAAAAAAATTTCCCGCCATTTGTTAATAATTTTTTTTAAACAAATTGATTAAATCAATTGTTTTAAAAAAAAATTTCTAACTTTATTACATTACAAATATTATGATTGTTTAAAAAAAAATTTCCTTAATAACATATTTTAATTGTTTATAATCGTTTTTTTATATTTCTTTTGTTTAAATAATTAGTTAAGAAATTTTTTTTTAAAAATCATAATTCACAATCCTCTATAAAGTAACAGAAAAAAATTTTTTTTTTTAATCAACAATTCTATTGTTTATTAACTTACCAATTTGTTATAAACAAATGTTCAACTTTTTATATTTTTTTCTAAAACTTCTAAAATTAACAAAAACAAACATATATAACAAAGTCTATAAAAAAAAAAAAAAATTTTTTTAATAAAAGTAAT